TGTACTTTGTCTGGAGATGCTGTAGTGAAATTCATTTCACGGTGGGGATACTACCAGGAAATAATTCCATGCAGAACAGCAGGGAGCGGGCAGCTGTTCTAGTACGTTTCTACCAAAGAATAATATGAACCATGAGAACAAATGAAGGTTTATCTTACCCAAAATTAACTAATGCTATCGTTTTAAACTGCTTTTCAAAAATAATAATTTCACGCTTGTAAAAATCTTTAAAATAGTATTTACACAAATCCAAAGTAATTGACTTAGTGTGCCTTTTGTCATTCTTTTGGAAAATTATTTAATTGGGGTAAGATTTATAATTTTGCTCATAGCATTTGGAAAAGTGTCTGCCTTGCTTACCTGATGGCTTTAATAAGATGACTTATTAAATTCTTACTAATCATCTGCAGAAAAGGAAACCACTTTTCATTTTGTTTTTGCTTGGTTTTCCATGAGACTTCCAGAAAAGTCCCACTTTTAATGCAACAAAAGAATTCAAATGCATTACTTTGCAAATTACAATTTACAAGCAGTCTGTGAGGAGTGAAGGCTGTTTCATTTCATTCCACACATTCTTAGAGTTCCTCTGCAGATAATGCTATTTGTTATAGCACTTCTCTGCAAAAAGGGAAACAGGAAAACTGCATTGGGGGAAAAAACACAGCAATGGGATATCGTCATGGTCCTTTGAATCATGGATTTTAGATAAAGAAACGACAGAGAAGTGTTTTATATTTGGAGTTAGGTTTTCTCATTAGATACATTCTCCTGAATGCAATGTTCCCATTGATTTCAACTGGGGTAAAAGCCAGATACTCAAAAGGTGAGCATAGAACAAGGAAAATTGCAACATATGATAGTGATTTGGAATCGCTCCAATGAGACTGTTTTGCTCTAGTATAGTTTGAAAGTCTCCATAGCTTACTGGTTTAGAGCCCAGGGATCTTAAGGAGTTTCTTCCAGGCTAAATGGAACATGCAGTTGTCTGTTCTCTGTAATGCTGTGTCTGTGCAGATGCAGCTACATTGTGCATTCTGGACCAAATCCACTATGCTCATTAGCTTTACTTAAAAATACATCTATTGCCTGAAGACACCTGGGTACATCCACAGACAGTGAATAATTGCAAGAATTGAATGAAATTAAGCACCCTAGATCAGAGATGGTTTTGTGCAAGGAGAAGGCACAGCTGGTGCCCTTTTAGAAGGTGAAATGCGACTAATTAGATAAGCTAGAAACCAATTAGATGGAAGTAGGTAAAAGAAGTTACTGTTTAGATAAGAGATGTGGTTCTCTAGCTTTGTGTACATAACATGTGACATAAGAAACTGGAATTCTACTTGATACAAACCTTAAAATTTATTTTCCTTGTCCTGGTTTAGATATTAGAGCAAAGATGCTCAACCTGGAGTTAGAGACTAGATTTTCAGGTACAAGACAGCACATACATGGATCTAGCAGTCTCCTCAGTGAACACCACAGAATGAAGTTTTTTGTGATGTCACTTCCAGTTAAACATTCTTTGAAAAGAAAATGGATTTTATACCTAATTTCTACTGAGCGAATTATGTGGCTATGTGGTCAACTCAACTGAAAGCCTTAATTATGCTGTTAGTAATGGAGTTGTGTGCAGAGGTAAATGTCCTTTGCATATTTAGCACATTAGGAAGACATACACTGGGAATAAATCTTCTGAGAGTGTCACTGTATTAGCATGAAACTACTGAGTCTGATCTATAAGATGGCTGGTCAAACTAGGGACACCAGCTGTCACCTGTAATAGATGAAATTAATAGGCTCTTTGGGTGGAGGGTGTAAAATTGACCACATGGCCTCATTTCTACAGTCTTCTAATCAACAAGCCTCAAGAGCTCTGAGCCAAGATAAGATGTTTGCTTTTCATAGCATCTAACATTCAATGCAATAGCTAGCAAAGAGACGACTGGTCAACCAGATGGTCATGGTGTCCCCGTTGTATTTCCAAGGTCTGTTCCAGTGCCTGGTACTGGTTGATGCTCAGTAAATGTGCAAATATTATGGTACCAGCAGTGACGTGATAAGGCCCTAAATAACAGCAGGCTCTTCCCTTGGTTATTTCCAGTCTCTGTGGACATGAGCAGGCATTTTGGGAAGTTTCCTGGGTGGAAGGATCTGCTGCAGGACCAGTATGAGAAGGGGAAGGAACCATATTTCCCCCAGCCACTGAGAAGGACCTGCCTGTCCCACTGCAGGAGGACAGGACTTAGCACTCAGGGCAAAGCAAATCAGATGAAGGAACCTCACGGGGTGCCTCCTCCCAGTCCAAAGAGATGTGTTACCTCTTCTAGAGACAGGCTGACCTGCAGAGTGAGGCCTTGGAGAGCCCTGCCATTATCTCCTCACCTCATTGCTTCATCTTTTTTCCTGTGGGTTCTTCGTCGTGGTTGCCATTCAGCAGTCTCCCAACTCTGTTACTCATGTAGTTGGCCTCCCATCCTCATATGGATGCTCTTAAGGCACCAGGTGAGGTTCCCCCCAGCTCCTGGCTTGAGAGAGGATGATGTGGGGTCAACTGTCCTCTACTGGGTGGCATTTTAAAGCAGCCGGCCCTGAACAAGGAAACTCAGCTGAGAAGATAAATAAGGCTAACAGTGGCCCCATTCACTTGTTTATGTCATTCCCACTCACTCACCTATCCCACCCCTACACTCCAAATGCCCCAGGCTTCAGGACCAGGCTGATTCATGAGGCAGTGCCCCAAAGGAGAGTCAGATGCCATCCCGGGTCAGCTCCAGTGACCTGGTTGAACTTCAGGGTCCAGGTTCTAAATGTCCTGCTATCTCTCTGGAACTGACCTTGGAGCTTCACCCTGGTGATGGTGTTCCTGTGGAAGGGAGGATGCTGGCCCAGGAGATGTCTGGTGGGCCCCAGCAGCTACCTTCCAGGGCTGGCATGTGGGAGGCAGTCGGCAGTTGTTTCCTTTGTTGAATCGATCTCTTTCCTGCTTCCAGAAGTGCTTCTCAAACGTGTGTGTTGTGTGTGCACGCGTATGTTTTAGGGACAGACTTTTTTAAAAACTGCGGTAAAATATATATAACAAAATTTACCATTTTAACAATTTGTAAGTACATAATTCAGTGGTGTGGTATTAAGTACATTTGCATTGTTTTGCAACCATCGGCATCTATTTCCAGAACTTTTCATCTTCCCAAACTGAAACACTCTCCCCATTAAAACACTAACCCCCCAGCCCCTGGCAACCCCCATTCTACTTTCTGTCTCTGAGTTTGTCTTCTCTAGGGACCTCATGTAAGTGGAATCATGCTTTTCTGTGTGCTTTATTTCAGTTAGTATGTTTTCAGTGTATCTGTGTTGTAGCATGTACCCGAATTTCATTCCTAAGGGTAAATAATGTTCCAGTGTATGTATATGTACCACGTTTTGTTTATCCATTCGTCTGTCCATAGACACTTGGGTTACTTCTACCTTTTGGCTATTGTGAATAATGCTGCTATGAGTATTGCTGTACATATTTGTTTACGTTCCTGCTTTCAATTCTTTTCGGGTACACACTTAGAAGTGGGACTGGCTGATCATAAGGTAATTCTGTTTAATTTTTGAGATACTGTTTTCCATAGCAGCTACACCACTTTAATATTATATATATATATATTTGAGACAGAGTCTCACCCTGTCGCGCAGGCTGGAGGGCAGTGGCGCGATCTTGGCTCACTGCAACCTCCGCCTCCCAGGTTCAAGCGATTCTTGTGCCTCAGTCTCCCAAGCAGCTGGGATTACAGGCACCTGCCACCATGTCTGGCCCTTTTTTTTTTTTTTTTTGTACTTTTAGTACAGAAGGGGTTTCACCATGTTGGCCACGCTGGTCTCGAACTCCAGACCTCAGGTTATCTGACCGCCCCGGCTTCCCAAAGTGCAGGGATTACAGGTGTGGGCCACTGCCCCAGGCCAGCTGCACCACTTTAAATTCCCACCCGCAGTGAACAAGGGCTCCAATTTCTCTACATCCTCACCAACACTCGTTAGTTTCTATGTTTTAAATAATAGCCATCCTCTTGGGTATGGTTTTTATTTGCGTTTCCTAATGATTAATGATGTTGAGCATCTTTTCATGTGCTTAGTAGGCATTTATGTATCATCTTTGGAGACATATCTATCCAAGTCCTTTGCCCATTTGTAAACTGGGCGGTTTGGTTTTTGTTGTTGCTAAGTCGGCAAATGTGTTTTTGATCTAGATTGAGAAATCCTTACCCGGAGACTCTGAAGCCGTTAGCAGCCACAGTAAAGGCTGCATGACTGAGCTCTGACTACGCCACAGCCTTGCAAGTGAATGCCACTCAATACTCACAATAACCACACAGTTCCCCAGAAAGGAAATGAGTTTGGAGAGGGCCAGCAGCTCCATGTCACACAGCAACGACACTGACATAAATGGCTCTGGAGGGCAAGGACTTGCAGGGCCTGGCTCCAGATATGGGGACTCACGTTGAGGTGGCACTGCTCACCTGGAGCGGCACACTGGAGTCACCTGGGACCAGCCTCCTAGAAGTTCCCATGCACCCGCCTGTCAGAAATTCTGAGCTCGGAGATTTTTGAAAACTCCTAGGTCCAGTGGTTTCTGGCAACAGCGGGCACATTAGCATCACCCGGGGAGCCTGAAAAAGCCGGTTGGCCCAGCCTGCCCTCACCCAGACCAGTTCATCAGAACCTCTTGGGGTGGGGGACGGGGGTGGGGTAGGTAGCAGCAGCCAGGTATCAGTATTTTTGAAAACTGCCTGAAGAACTCCAATGCACAAGTAAGTCAAGGACCCCCACAAACTCAACACCGCGACCAGACTGGAAAAGGTGTAAGTTGGTGCTTGTTCGCGTGCCTGTTTGATTGGTTGGTACGGAGGTGGGACGGGCTCTGGGTGCCAGCGGGAGACCGCTCCAGCCCACACCGCAGGATGCAGGGCGGGGTCCGCTCATCCTCGGCGGGGCGAGGGGGTTGGGGGGCTGTGGCCTCCCGAGCTCACCGCGCGCCCTCGCGCACCCGGGCTCGGGCCTGGCGGACTGGGTTTCCGCCCCGCGCCCCGCGCGCCCCGTTCTAAAGTAAACACCGAGGAGCGGCGGTGGCAGGACCGGTGCAACCCAGCGCCGCCCACGGCCGCTGCTCGCTGCCTGCCTCGGTGCTGCAGGCCCGGGACCGAGCCATGGCCGAGGGGGTGCTGGCCTCGCCGTCAAGCCTTGGGGGCAGCCGGGGCCCGCACAGCGGCGTCATCCAGTGGTGAGCCGCCCGGCCCCTGGGACGCTCGGATGGAGGAGGTGGGGCCGGGGAGGGGAAGTGTGGTTCCCGCTACGGCTGCCCTCGGGACGCCGAGTGAAAGCCGGGTGTGAGGAGCGGCCCCAGGCCCAGCGCTTTCTGATGCCCGCATGCCCACCCCAGCGCGGAGGGACCTCCCATGCACGGACACGCGTAAAAGCCCCGGGTCCGAAACGGCAGTGGGGCCGGGCTTCCCATCTGTGGGTTCCCCGTTGTCACCCTTCCCGCGTAAAGCCGTCAGGTCTGCCCCGCGGGGGCCCATTGGTTGGACTCGACTTCCATGTACATCCAAAAGTGCCTGGGCATTGGCCAGGGGAGGAAAAGCTTCTCTCCCTAGATCCAGGATGAGATGTTTCCTCAGTTAAAGCTAAGGAGTTTTTAGCTTTCCACATTGCATTCCACATTGTGAAATTCACTTCTAGCTATTTAAGTCGAAGCAGGAAAAAGGGGAAAGAAAAATATCCTTAGCCCTTGGGACTGAGAAACTCACGGGGTTGCAGATCTTCTTAAATAGGAAAATAATTGAAACCAGTTCTAGGACCTTTAGTTTTACAAGGTGAATAGCTGTTGTATAACAGAGTGCATTTTTCTGTTTTTAAGTTTCAAAGCATATTTCTCAGGGAAGACTTTTGAAAAAGTCATGTGAGTGAAATAAAAAGGAAGGGCGTGTTTGTGATTATAACCCTGGCAGGCCTCAACAGTTACCATTTTCCTCCAAAAGAACATTTTTGATATATCTTATCTTCAATGAGATTTAAAAAAAAAATCGAATGAACACTGAAGCACACAGCGTTTTTCAGGGTTGCACAGCTGGGCTGGGCTTCTGCTACACTCACTGACCCCAGGCCCTCATGCAGCGTTCTTCTTAGAAGAAAGGACTCAGATGCCTTCCAATGACTTCAGGTAGCCATTTAGTAAATTAGAGTTTCCAGGGTTTAAATTATGCTCCAGAGACTTGAAAGAATGATGAGACTGATTTAAAAATACCTGAACATCCTCCTAAGACCGTTTGTGTACTCACTTCAAATGGTAACCAGGGGGTGTATGATGGTCTAGACCAAGCTTGTGCAACCCTCAGGCCTAAGGGCCGCATGAGGCCCAACGCAAATTTGTAAACTTTCTTTTCCTTTTTGTGTGTGTGTGTGATAGAGTCTTGCTCTGCTGGCCAGTCTGGAGTGCAGTGGCATGATCTTGGTTCACTGTGACCTCCGCCTCCTGAGTTCAAGTGATTCTCCTGCCTTATCCTTCCGTAGTAGCTGGGATTACAAGCCTGCGCCATCATGCCCTGCTAATTTTTGTATTTTTGTTAGGGACAAGGTTTCACCATGTTAGCCAGGCTGGTCTGGAAGTCCTGACCTCAAGTGATCTGCCTGCCTCCGCCTCCCAAAGTGCTGGGATTACAGGTGTGAGCCACCATGCTGGGCCTTCATAAACTTGCTTAAAACACTATAAGATTTGTTTGTTTTGGCTCATCAGCTATCATTAGTGTTAGTGTATTTTATATGTGACCCAAGATAGTTCTTTTAGTGTAGCCCAGGGTAGAAAAGATTGGACACCCCTGGTGTAGACCGTTTTAGCAGAGAGTGTGACTTATTCAAGTCCCATATTACAAGTTCTTATCCCTATAGGTCCCTCTTCAGGGTTGGGGAGGTGGAGGCAATGGAAATAAGGGAGGGGTCACCGTTTCATTGGGGAGGGCTGTTCTTTAGACATCCAGCTGATGAGGTAGTATGTTTAACAGATCGTTGAGGCCAGCTGTGGTGGCTCAGGCCAGTAATCCCAGCACTTTGGGAGGGCAAGGCAGGTGGGTCACTTGAGCTCAGGAGTTTGAGACCAGCCTGGCTAACATGGCGGAAACCTGTCTCTACTAAAAATAGAAAAATTAGCTGGATGTGATGGCGGGCACCTGTAAATCCCAGGTACTCTAAGGCTGAGGCAGGAGAATCGCTTGAACCTGGGAGCTGGAGGTTGTAGTGAACCAGGATTACGCCATTCCGCTCTAGCGTGGGCAACAAGAGTGAAACTCCTCTCCAGCAACAACAAAAAAAACACCCAAAACAGATAGTTGGCACTAGTGGTTTTAACATCAAGAACAGCCTCTGGTATTCCAAAGCCTGGAAGGTGTTACCAGTGCTGGAGGAGCAGTAGTGGGTAGTGCAGGGCGAGGGGCCTGAGTGCCTGGAGACAACTCTGTTAGCCAGCATCTGAGTGAAAGACCAGGGAGGGCCCCAGCTGTTGTCCTGTGGAGGAAACCTGCCATTTTCCACATTACTTCGTTGTTTTGTCTTCTAATCAGTCACTTGTTAGGTCCTCAGCATGTCTTAGAGACA